AGTAATTATAATTGTTCATTTGTGAAGAAAAAAAATGACTACAAATGTGTGTTCAGAAAATATCAATTGAAAGAAAGAGTGAGCCAAAACAACATAGTACTGTTAATTGATACTGTGAGATCAATTATTTAGAATAGTTCTATTTTGTGAGCATGTTTGTGCAGTTGATGAATAATTTACTATATTTCCTATTTGTTCGAAATGCAATGAATATTTTTTAGTGTCTATTTGTTTGAAACTCTTAACACATGGCCTCTTTCTCCGTTAGTCAGATCAGTCTGGGACAAAAATCACTCACAGAGGACATGCATAGTTGCTATTGTTACCAATTAAAAGTGATATCCTCTATGTAGTTGTAGAAAGTGTATTGGAAATAAAGAATGAATTGCAACTCCATTAGCAACTTTATACTCTGTTCAATTTATCTAACATTGCAAACATTTTCAGTGTAAGAACAAAGAATGCTTTAGATATTGCAGGTCTTCAGTTTCCCCTTTGGCTTATAAATGACTATGGAACATATGGCACAATTGTAACTGTTTTTTTTTTTTAATTGCTAAACCGATTTCATACAGATTCAAAATGGTATCCAAGAATATCTATGATAAGCATGAAATCCTGACCTCAGAGTGGGACAGTGCACTTCAGCACCATATCGCGCTACAATTGCGGCCACAGAATCGAGACGTGGTTGGCGGGCACCTGATGGGGCATCACCAGTGTCACTAGCAATTCCCATAATGGGTGTGCCCATCCATAAAAGGGACAGGCTTGCTTACTGACAGGCTGCCCGGTCAGCCCCCAACTTTCAGGACCAATCCAGGAGAACAACTAAAGTGCTCCCTGTATGGTTGTAGTGCACGCTGCACAGCGTGGGCACATCTAAGCATGCTTTCATGCTGTGGTGCCTGGGGACAGTTCCTTGATGTCTCTAGATGTGGAACACCAGGAAACTAAAGTGTGACATTGGAACAGGATCCAAAATCTGCTGAAAGTTAGACTACTGGGAGGCCTGCAACAACCAATGAGTCCTGTTATTTTGTGCTATTAAAATGATACTGGTATGAGACATGTATGAGAGCAAGTTAAGTGGTGTAGGAGTTGAGATCCAGCGGTGTATCACTTTATGAAAGAAAGAACAGCTTTTTAAAGAAATATATACATGATCCTACATTGAGATTAGAGTGATAAGAGTGGCGATCTTCCAAAGATGTTTCACTTAGCTAGAGCTGTAATATTTTATTAAACAATATAAAGAATGGTTAAAATATCCCTACTCTTTTAGAACAAAAAAGAAATTAAAAATATACTTAGAATATAATCAATGTCTCCAACAAAAACTGGAGACTACAAATATCAATACAGAAAGAATCACGATCATAAATATTTACCAATATTTAAAAAACATGTGATCTGTGATAGGGCTGCAAAACCCACATTCCGCATTCCTTGTACCGCCCCCTTCCCCCCACCCTCTCCACTGACAAAAAATGGGTTAGAAAAACATTTTTACACTTGTCCAATTCACACTCCTCCTCCGCCGATGGGGGAGATCCTAATGTGCTGCACACGCATTCCTGGCTAATCCATGGCAGCATTACGATAGGGTTAGCTCCGCCCACTTGGCTGTTTAGGACAGGAAATAAAGGTATAAATACTCCTCCTACCAGACTAGATCTCCAGTTCTTATTGAATTCTCTGTTCTCAGATGTCACTATATATAGTCTTCTACCTATTACGATACTACATTACTGAATTGTTCCTGTATTTCTGTTTTCCTATAGCATCCAGTCAGTGTCTCTCCTTGAGAGAATGTTCTATTTAATTTGTTTATGGGAGGTTATGTTACAGTCTCTGATATCTGAGAAACTGGAAGAATTAGCAGCTTCCCTGATGCTGTAGTTCTCCGTCTTGAAACTATTCCTGTTTAACCTGGCCTATTCCCTCACGGTTGGTTTCTGCCACAGTTCCTCTGCTATTTTATATCTAATTCCTTTTCCTCCCCTTTTGCAATTAACAGGATGCCAATGCTTAGTTGGGTTAGAGGTATGATTCCCTGTTCCTCCTATTGAACACTAATTTGGGTACCTCTGCAGTTGGCTTTGCCTGGGGGGAAGTGTTTTTCTTACTGTAAATGATAATCTAAGATTAATTCCGTAGCCTGGTTTATTTCTCCTGCTCATTTGTGGGTATATCTTTCAGATCTGTATAATTAGATGCTGTTGTCCAGGAATGGACAGGTGTTAGATTCCTGGATATTTTAAGTTGCTGATTTCATTGTGATTTGGCAATCTAGAAACTGGTGCTTATAGTCATGTGAAATCTATGGTATAGTCAGTTTTTCTGTTCTCTATTCAGATTTCACAAATTGGATACTCCAAGAAAGGGGCCTTATTTTACATTTTGGGAACTTTCCCATAAACTCTGCAGTCCAGAGTTTGCTTGTTCTTATCTGATTTTACAAATATTGGTGGCTGCTTGTTTATTTCCCTCCCATCAGATGTTGAGCTTGGGTATTACCCTATCGTAATGCTGCCATGGATTAGCCAGGAATAAAGAAAATTTCACCATACTTACCGTAATTTTCTTTTTCCTGGATATATCCATGGCAGCATTGCATCCCTCCCTTCTGTATAAATTTCTTTTTTAGGAGCTTGTAACTAGACTGGAGATCTGGTCTGGTAGGAGGAGTATTTATACCTTTATTTCCTGTCCTAAACAGCCAGGTGAACGGAGCTAACCCTTTCGTAATGCTGCCATGGATATATCCAGGAAAAGAAAATTACGGTAAGTATGGTGAAATTTTCTTTATTATGCCTTCCCCGTAGGAAAGCATTGCCTCAATGCTTTCCTATGGGGAATTTGAGAACGCCAACTGTCCTCATGCAAAAGTTAGGTCATCCAGCATCTTTTCACAGGAAGCCTCTAGTTTCAGCACTGCAATATCTGAAACTGCAATATTTTACATTAAAGGGCTAAGGAAGCAGAGACACTGCACCCAGACCCCTTCAATGAGATGAAGCAGTCTGGGTGACTAAAGTTTCCCTTTAAGTTTTTTTTTTTTGTTTGTTTGTTTGTTTATGGGTATATCTGCAAAATTGTGATAACTGCTAAATTGTGTTTTTTGTTGCAAAATTTTTATCCATCTCTGCTCGTTATCTCTGGTGGTGTATATCAGAAATAAAATCCTAAAATGTTTTATATTGGGTTTTTTTTTGGGGGCAAATCGATATTTGTTGACATTGATTATTCAGAAATAGTCAAGGGTAAATAAAAAAAAAATCCAATTAGAAATGAAGTCAGACAAAGCCTTTAAGTCTACTTGTCCGTATTGAAGAAGGCTACCAGTTCCAAATGTCTCAGCTTCACAATGTACTTAATTAAAGCCCATGGTTAAGATCAAATAGGAAGCATGTTTTAATGAGCATTGTCAGTGTGAGATTTTATCTGTGTGTCACCAATTTTCGTTAGAGTTGAGAAAAAAGGTGAAGAGGCCATGTACTAACATTTCAGAAAAAAAAGTTTATATGCTACTGAAGATTTTATTGCCAGTTGTGAATATCCTTTATTAGATAACAAAGTATAAAATAAAGAGAAATACACTTGCTTTCTTAGATAGCTAATATATGTCATAACAAATATATTTACAGCTAATTTTCCTTCAACATTACTATAATTACTCACCATGTGAGTTAGCTGCAATCACAATGAATGATATATATAAAATGGCTTTAAAAAAAAAATCTTAACATGGGGGCGTGGCCTGGCAGCTGATGGACACGGACGTGTGAGCTGTTAGCTCCGACGAGGGTGCACAAACCGCAGCGATTTGACGAGCGCAAACCGCCCAGACCGACTTACAAAAGGCTCACCTGACAAGCCCAAGCCACCATGTCCCAAAGAGCGCAAAAAAAAATGAAATTGCGCCCAGCAGCCCTTCAAATATCGGCTCTCACTCCGCCGCGCAGCAGAACACAAGATGGCGCCGGAGGCCCTGACTCACCCACAGCATGCTCTGAAGGGAGTGACAGCACATCCATCTCCCATAACAACGCAGCTCCTGCCTCAGAAACTGCTCTGCATCGCATGCTCCAAGAGCTACAGCAGAATCTTCAAGCAGAATTCGCCAAATTGGCCCGGGACGTCCGTGCGGACATTAAAGAGATAAGTGCGCGCACCGCCATATTGGAGGATAAAACAGAGGAAATAATAGACGCGCATAACAACCTAGCCGCAACCTGGGAAACCCTGGAAAACCGACTAACCTTCCTGGAGGCTAAGATAGCGGACCATGAGGATCGCGATAGATGCAACAATATTCGTCTGCGCGGCAAACCAGAGGAAATCAAACCCTCTGAATTAAGAGATTATGCCATAGGCCTATTCAAGGCCCTCTGCCCACAGCTTAGTGACGCCGACCTGTGCCTTGATCGCATCCACCGCCTGCCGCGGCCTAAATTCTTAGCAGCAACTGTGCCTAGGGATGTAATTACACGCATCCACTACTTCACTTCTAAAGAAGCAGTATTGAGAGCGGCAAGAAACCCTGACAGCATCCCAGCAGAATTCCGAGGCGTGAAGTTATTCGTGGACCTCTCTGCAGCAACCCTGGCGAAGCGCAAAGCACTGTCACCAATCACCCAAGCACTGCGGGAAGCAGATATCCTATATAAATGGGGCTACCCAACACGCATCATCGTAAGGCGAAATGGAGTGGAACACCAAATACAATCTGTAGATGATGGGACCCGACTACTAAGCGACTGGAATTTACATATCAAACCTCAAGACGTGAAAGATTCAGCGAGCAGAACTAACAAGTCGCCCACAAAAATCTCTAAGGACTGGTCCACTGGGACAAGACATAAGTGACATAAGACTAAGGTTAACGCATCGGGCTGCGCAGCCCAGCCTAATGCATCATCTTACCGCCTAGATACGTGAGCATGCTCCATGTCTGTATAATTGTTTTAAATGTTTTTTGTTGTATATGCTTAGTATGTGGTTAACAGAATACCTAGCATAACAGACACGTAACCATCAGACACAAACTAATGTGGAGATGATAGATGAACACCAGATTCTACTTACACAGAGGCGGGCTATATGGCATCCCAAGTTAATACCAACGCCTATATGGGCAGTTAAATACCCACAAGGACACCCTCCCCCATTGTGGCTCCATAGGGCCGACAAAGACCTCGTTGTGGTCTGATACACAGTATCTGACCAATTTTTTGTACATAGTTCCCCAGTGGGGAGTTATCCCTTCACACCCCCGACCTCCCTCTCATACCCCACTTAATACTAAGAAATGTAGGTTGCTAACCCTAGATACTCACTACCATGATACAGCTACCATAGGCGAGACCGCACTGCACAAAGGCTTACTCAAAGTCACCCAGAACAAGACGCAGATTCGAAAAGCACACTTTATTTTTTCCACATTACACTGCGAGAAGAAGAGTATCCCCGCTGCATCCTCATGGCGTTAGTAGTTTTTTCACTCAACGTCAAAGGCCTAAATACACCACACAAAAGGAGATTAGCTCTCAAGGAAGCTAAAAGGATGAAGGCCGCAGTGGCTTTCTTCCAAGAAACCCATTTCCTAACCTCCAAACTGCCCAGGTTCTCATCAAAAGAATACCCGATAGGATATCACACTGGCTACTCAAAAAAGAAGAGAGGAGTCTCCATTCTATTCAGCAAAGATGTGGCTTTTTCATTGCACAAGAAGATTGGGGACAAGGAAGGACGCTTCCTTCTGCTCCAATGCCTTATAAACAATGATCCATACACCTTCATAAATGTATATGGCCCACATGATAACCAAAAGGTGTATCTAGACAAAATCCTAACACTAGCAAACACATACCAATTTGGTACGATGATCATAGGGGGAGACACAAACTTTATTTTAGACGAACAATTGGATACCTAGAGGACCCTACACGTTACGCAAAGAACGAAGACTAAACGTACCGTATCCACGACCACTACCAAAACACAGTTGGCCAACTCGGGATATGTGGATATATGGAGAATCCTACACCCTTCCGAAAAGGATTTCACCTTCCATTCCCAAGTACATAACTCCTACTCAAGAATAGATAGATTCCTCATACACAACACAACAATCCCAACAATTCAATCCACCAACATAGCGACCATCACATGGTCGGACCATGCACCGATTACCCTTACCATGACAACTCGATTCCCCACCAAAGGACGAGGTTCATGGCGCCTGAACGAATCTTTACTACGCAATCCCCAAATTACTACGCAAATAAAAACAGAACTAGAAGCATATTTTCACACAAACACTACCGCAGACATTTCCATAGATACACTGTGGCGAGCGCACAAAGCCGTGCTCAGGGGCCTGTTCATCAAACATGCTAGTTACGCCAAGAAGCAAAGATTACACACATATAATACCCTGATCCAACAAATAACGACCCTTACACACACGAACAAAACAAACCCATCGCCAGAACATTATAACACGTTGAGAACTTTACAAGCACAATTAAATGAATTTGAACTAGACAAAACCAACTACATCCTCCAGAAGTATAAACATAAATTCTTTGCACAAGGGAATAAATCGGGCAAACTTCTAGCGGCCAAGTTAAAGGCCCGCACGGCTAACCCTAAAGTGGCATACATAATGGCACAAGGGAACAAGAAACTCATTAACCCACAGGACATAGTAGAGGAATTTGCGCAATACTACAGCTCATTATACAATCTCAAAGATGACCCCACAACAACCACACCGACCAAAACACAAGTACGAGAGTACTTAGATGCAGTAACACTACCTACACTAACTCAGACAGAAATTGACACAATCACTAAGCCAATCACAACGTAAGAACTGAGGAACACAATATCGAAACTACCCCCTCATAAGTCCCCAGGCCCAGACGGTTTGACCAATCTGTACTACCAAACCTTCTCAGAAACCCTAACCCCACACCTCTCCAAGCTCCTAAACCACTACTACACCAAAGGCGAAATGCCCTCTGAAATGCTACAAGCACACATATCAACACTCCCGAAGCCAGGCAAACCTGCGACGGTCTGCCAGAATTTCAGACCCATCTCTATACTCAATTGCGATACAAAAATCTACGCAAAAATTTTAGCTAACCGCTTTCAAAACATACTAACTCGCATAGTTCATAATGATCAATCAGGCTTCATCAAAAACAAACAAGGGTCAGACAACACAAGGAAGATTTTAAATATCCTAGCCCACATGGAGACACGCAAAACAGAGGGCCTCCTTCTGGCATTAGACGCCGAAAAGGCCTTTGATAGGCTCAATTGGGAATACATGGAACAAGTACTTCTCAAATTTGGTTTCCCTAGCTCGTTTATTAAGGGCATAATGGCACTATACTCCAAACCATCCGCTAAAGTCACAAACACAGGCTTTATTTCGAACCCCTTCCACATCACCAACGGCACTCGCCAAGGATGTCCACTCTCACCTCTATTATTTATATTCTCACTTGAACCTTTGGCTTACAAGATTAGAACCCACACAGACATTGCGGGAATCCCCGTAAAACAGGCAAACTACAAATTGTCCATGTTCGCAGATGATATCCTTATTTCCCTTACGAGACCAGAGCACTCCCTGCCGCACATTATGAACACATTGGAAGAATACGGCAAAATTTCCTATTATAAATTGAATCAGGCTAAAACCCAAGCACTTCCCATACGTCTGTCCCTGGACAGATGGAGGGAACTTGGAGTAACCCGTATTATGGACATATGCCACCAGGGGGCTATATTACCCTTTCCGGAAATTCAAAAAACGCATAACCTACCAGCATCCTATATCTTCCCATATCTCCAACTTAAAAGCTTACTTGCTAATAAAGTAGCACCCCCAACATCACACATAAGCCCCACAGACCACGACCTATTATTACTGTACAATAGGTGCCACAACTCACCGATCAGACTGAAGATGCTCTCATTGAGCTACACAGCTTTAAGAAATCAAATTCCACTCCCAGAGTTCAAATACAGATTACACTGGGAACAAGAATGTGCACTATCATTCACGAACAAACAATGGACAGCATCGCTCCAAGCCCTAAAGGATATCACCGCGTGTTATTCACATGTCGAAGCACATAAAAAGCTGCTCTACAGGTGGTACTACACACCCGACAAACTCCACAGGATCTACCCCCACACCTCGGCCAGGTGCTGGAGATGTGGGACGGAACGAGGCACAATGACCCATATCTGGTGGAATTGTCCGATCATTACACCCCTATGGACGGAAGTCCATAAGACATGGCAAGACTTGGGGATCAAACAACTACCACTCACACCCCAACTGACTCTCTTCCTCCAATACCCCAACTCAATACCTTACACGGACAAACACCTGACAGTGATGATGATCCTAGCAACCCGCAATCTCATAGCGTGTCACTGGAAAAAAACGGGACCTCCGATATGACCTGCTCACAGCCCACACTCACAAACAGGCCTCCACCACACTCCTTAATTGGCAGAGGTGGACAGAATGGGTAGCTCTTAAGGGGAACGCAGACGAGGCCCCAATTACTACTATAGATTGACACTATAGATTGACGCCAACGACCATAGGCTGTTGGCACCCTGAATGCTCGAGGCCCGTCAATAGATCTATACCACAATGCGAGGGAACAGAATAGGACACACTGTAATAATCACAGCAAAACTAAACAGAATAATAACACAGTGTAACATTGCGTAAAGGTACTCAAGCGACAAAAAGCTGCAGTACTATATAACACACAAAAATGTAACCAACTGCACCCTTGTATCTCTGCACCTAGGTAATCTGATACCTCAGATCAAATACGTATACGTGCCAAGCTAAACTGTGTCTATATCCATGCTTACTTAAGATGATCAAACAAGCAACCTGAAAGAAATTTGTATTTGAATGTCCCCCACCTTCCCCTCCCCTCTTCCTTTCTGTACCCTACCCTACCCCAGACTTTGTTCAACAAAATAAAATACAAATTGAAAAAAAAAAAAAAATCTTAACATATAAACTGTGAAATCTTCCCAGTGTCTCTCAAATGTTGATGGACAATAATTCTTGAAATACTTTGAATACATTATATGGGCAGATAATTATGGAACTTGTAGTCCACCACCATCTGGAGGCCAGAGTTTGAAAACATTATTCTATACTACATTTGCGTACATCATTGCATCCTTAAAACTACTTTTGTTCAAAATCTTATGCCTATCATAGCCCTTATTTTTCACACATCATAAGATAAAATTCTATGCTATTATTCTTCATTATAGTCGTAACATGCATTACTTATTTTCTACCCTCCTTGCTTGAACTAGGCAAATGAATGGAACTGCTTGAGGATGTCCAGCATCTTCAAAATCCCAATAGGAAAGCATTGATTCAATGCTTTTATATGGGGAGGGCCAAATGCGCGCAGGTGCACTAACTTCACCCCCATTGCCGACGTCAGAGAAGGCAGAGATAAAGCCAGCACCAAAAGTACTTGGCGCTGGAAAGAGTTAAGTGCAAAGGTTATTTTTAACCTTCTCCAGACCCCTGGGGGTCAAATGATAGCCTTTTGGCTGAGGGACGTTATAGTGTTAGGAATACACTTATGTTATCCTATTCTACAGTGTTCCTTTAAAAAATCAGTAGGATACTGTTGATCAGTCAGTTAGTGAACATATTTTCATGCACTTGAATGAAACACAAGATCGTTTTGCTTTGTCTTTGTACAAGATCTAAGGGTTCTGGGTGGAAACATGAAAGTAAAATGTATATGAAATGTAAATGAAAGTGAAATGTAAACCATGTTTACCATTATCAGGGCCTTTGCAAGCATTTTCAACTACCCAAACAAAGATGCATTTTACCGTCCCCCCCAAAAAAATGCAACTGTGTGTCTCTTAACCCCACTTTTGAATTTCTTATCATTTTTGTGTTTCTTATCCCAACTTTATCACCCCTTCTTTCGTTGTATGTCATACTTTCCCCCAGCCCCTTTGTGTGTCTCTTACTTCCCCACAGCCCTTTATGTGTATCTTACTTCCTCCAGCCCCTTTGTGTGTCTCTCTTTCTCCATCTCTCCCTTTGTGTGTCATTGTCAATGTCCCAAGCTGCTGTGTGTCATTGTATCCTTCCCTACCCCTCTGTGTCATTTTCCTGTTTTCCAGTCCCACTGTGTGTCATTATCCCCTTCCCCAGCCCTTCTGCATGTCAATGTCATGGCAACCCACGGCGACTCTATCAC